ACCTTGTTGTCTCGGATTCTCCAGCATCTGCAGTTCCTACTATCTCTAAAGAATTGTTGTTGTTCAGTATTTTTAAAAGTTGATCAATGGTTTCAATCCATTAAATAAAAAAAGTCATTTTAAATGAAGCATGGCTTTGTAACAGTATCACTAGCTGTTCACATTCGAGAGTGAGAATGTTCCCACTTGACACTGTAAGTTTTAAAAAAAAGGACTACATATAGACAATATCTCAAAACTCCATAAGTTGAGCATTGGGGTTTCATCATAGAATTGACTAGAAATGTTCTAACATGAACAAACCCACACAATGCTTTGCTTTGTGTGAGGTTTTCTTGAATGGATCTTTTGTCCTATTTTTCATAATTTAGGATTGTTTTCATATATTGATTCTTATCAATACATCCTGTAGGAAAATTGATGGCACTTTTGCATAGGTCAAAACAGAGCACAGTCAACTTTAAAAACAATGTTTTTGAAATATACTACTGGTAAGACTCAGTTTGTTGTCCTTCTGTCAGCTGGGAGACAGGTTCTTTTCCTGAAGGGCAATAATGAACTAATTGGGGTTAAATGACAATCAGGTAGCTTTTTTTTTGCATGCTTTTCCTTTTCTGGTACTAGTCCACAAGTTTAATCAGATTTATTAATTTCAATTTGACAATGTGGCATGGGGGGATTTAATCTCGAGAGAGCCCAGTTCTGGGAGGACGGAGGGAGGGGTAGTGGAGGACAAGTTATTTTTGTTTTGGCTATTTGTGAAAAATTGGTTGGTGAAAAGCTGCTCCCTTATTTTACCATTTACGAAATAAAACAATTTTCTTCTTGAAAATCTTCAAAATAAAAGGAGCTTGTGTGGCATTGGTATGAAATTATGTTTTGTATCCAAAATTTGCAGCTCAGTCTATTCAGCAAAGTTGTAAAAAGAGTGACAATAATATTTGTAAGTGACCCAAACAGCAACTCTTAAAATGGCCGAACATTTACATATTTTCACCTCGCAAACTACAAAGCTTTCAAAAACAGTTCATCTTGTGTGAAAGTAGCCAATCAAGGTAATCAACTAAGACGAGAGTGAATGATCCATTCCCTAAGCTCCTAACAGACATAATCTGTTTATTCAGGTGGATACAGAAAGAGCTGCTAAACTCAATCACTTGAGACGATGGACGATGGGTAAGAAGAGAGCTCCATCAGTAATCTAATCTAATCTAATCTAATCACTGTAAATAATGGACCTAGAATTTTACTCGGCTTGCTATGATCATATTTCATAACTGCTAGTCTGTAAATGTAAATCATCTGATGGCAAATCAACACTTTGTGTTTTAAAAAAAGACACTACTTTTGCAGAATCAGAATCAGACCGTCCATGAGTGAGTAACTGTGAAAGGGGAACTTGGAAGCCCTCTCACTCTCAAATCATTCTGCGAGTGTGTGTCTTGAATTTATGTGACCAACCAAGCAACGCAGGCGGTGATTCAATGTAAACCCAATATCTGTTAACTTCAAAAAAGACAGATATCTTCTGTCAAGATTTGAAATTGTGTCTCTGCACACAATCTGGAAAAATCACCAAACACCTGAAACTATCTAAATCATCAATTTAAACATCCAGATATGCTGACCTTCTTTTGGACACTCTTAACTGAGCCTCCCTTCCTATAATCTGTGTGTATGTCATTTGTCTTGATGTATTTGGGAGCGTGAGATGAAACATTTTAAATTATTTTAATCCATTGAGTGTTAAAGAAAAAAACACACAATTTGCTTCTCTTTTAACAATGTGATAAAAAACCTCTGTACATGAGTATTTTACATTCAGACCACTTGAGGGGTTGAATACTCACTGAGTTGACAAACCGATTTATAACACTACTTTCAATCAACTGAAAGGTGGAAAGAGAGGGAGTCATTCCAATATGTTTTACCTGGCTGTAATAGGGCTATATAAATGGTGCTCAATCCATAACCACCAGTTTCCCTCCATGCTCACAATGAAAATTACCAACGCAGCCATTAAGTTTCTAGTTCATTATCTAAATCACCACCCTACCATCTTCTGCATGACATGTCCTGCATTATAACATCCTATGACTTGTTACGGGTGGGTTTTGGCAACGACATTTACCCCATAATGCAAATGCACAAAATCCAAATAGATTGCATACATACACTGTTTCTATCCTCATGTTGTTCTGTTTTGTTATTGATTTTCTCAATCCTGTTGTCTTGGTGTGACTGTAAACTTGTCGTATGTTCTGTAATGTTAATTTTCATATCATCGTTTGTTTCACACCTGTCAATGGATGATAAAGAATAGTTACAAACAGACCTGGGTGGCTTCAAAGGAAAGTGCGTGCAATTGATTAATAGCATTTTGAGAGAAAATGCCCAGTGTTGAAAGAAAATTTGCTTGTAAATTATACTTAAAGAAACATGTGTGTTGACAGATGATAAAACAGAAAAGAAAGTTTTTGCCCATGTTTGATTACAGTGTCCTGATCTAGATGTCAGTGACAGATTAGACAGGCAATACAAGTCTGAAACCTAGAGGAAACTAGCCACATTGCAGTCATTGGGAAAGGAACAATTGGGTTACTGGGAATGCCTTTCCACGAGGGAGGAAGCCAGACAACAACAGGAAAGCAAATCATGCGTCATTTCACGCAGGAAAGTGCTTCACCTTCTGTTAGGCCAAGATAAGAATGCTCTCAAGGCCCACGAAGATGAAGGCCACTGCTATCACACTCCACTCTAATGTCTCTGTCTGAGCACATCTATCATGTAAACAAAATAAAATTGATTGACTGCAATGAGGATCTGCAAGAAATGTGATAGCAGTGAAGGATTAGAGGTTAAAAGACAGGCAGTGATGATCTATATACTTCTTAAGTACACTTCATATCCTTGTTGACCAAATACAAGAACCACTTCCTTTGACCCAGTTTATGTATTAACTCTTGAACAGGAATAAAAAGATCAGAAATAGAATGATATTTATATAAATCTTGTGAAGTACACACAGAAATATGTTTGCTAGTTCCTGAGTACGTCAGATAAATTGCCTTTATTAATCCCATTCCTCTCCTTTGTATCCAAAGCCAATGTATGGCCTTAGGCCGATATCAACCATAGGAAAGCAGGGAAAGTATATCTTACATTTTGTCAGACTTGCTGATGATACAGGGCTGCCATTCCCAGTGAAAACTCGGAGATGGAATTCCAAAAGCAGTACAGGTCAACTTGTGTTTCTTCCCAAGCTGATAAAACATTTTGTCTTGGAGTCCTGCTCCTTTGTCATAGATCTGTGGTTTCTCTGGAAGAGAAAATGGTAGAAGGTGGGATTTTAATACTCTAGTGGAGAAAATAGTGCCTTGTTCACCAACATTATCATCGATTTATACTACAATAATGTTCAGAAAATGTTGGAAAGAATTGCATTGCCAATCATTCCTAGGATGTGAGCATTGTTGGCAAGGTCAACATGCATCGACCATCCGTAGTTGCCCTTGAGAAGTCAATGATGACCAACTTTCTTGAACAATCAAGGTTCATGTGGGTTAGGTAATCCCATACAACTGTTAGAAAGGGAGTTCTGGGAGTTTGATGCACTGACAGTGAAGGAACAGCCATATATGGTTGGTGTATGCAGATGATGTATGTCCCATAAATCAGTTGCCCTTCTTCTTCTAGATGGTGGACGTCATGGATTTGGAAGGTGCTACTGGAGGAACACAATTAGTGAAACAAATTGTTGGACAGTTTTCCAATGTGACCATCAGTCCTTCCAAACTATATGCTGATAACTAAATTAGTAATAAAGCCCCTAATCGAACTTGAGTCAGTGCGCTGTCATGACGTCTTACATTCATAAATTGAATCAACACAAAAAAGAGCTATGTATTGATTTATGCAACAGATTCTTTCATATGGAATTAGAGGTAGATTCCCTTAGCGCTTTGTGATGCCATCCTTGTAACTTACTGTATGACAGAATGAAAGCAGTAAATGCAAATATTTTAATTGTTTGATTACATCAAAGATCATTTGGATTCCTGATCTGAGTCTTGTTCTCCATATTTATCAAACAAACGATCGCACCATGCTCTCACTAAAACTCGTTACAGACTTGAACAAGATTTATGATCAAGCCTCATTAGGATAATATTGGCAAACCTCTGCCATGATTGAATAAACACTGAAAAGGGAGATCCCTATTTTACCTACATTCTGTGAAGTTATTACATATCTGTGTCCATGTGCATGTGTATACAATGAATCTATTGTAAACTTGAAGATACACTTATGATCATGTTCCTTTAACCAATCATTCTTGGAGATAATTGGGTGCATGAATGATCTCACTATCTCAGAGAAGCTAGTTCAGTTCTCACCAGGCCTAGCTCTCCCAACTATAGGAAGTCTGTAATAATTGCCTTGATGGTAGATCCATGGCGATGCATTCCTTTGATGGAATATGTAATCCCACCCACAGAATGACATGTGGCAAATGTCGACTAGAATGATTTTTTGCCTCCTGTTGAGGTGTGAGGGCCCCTTAATTGGAAGATTAATGCTGGCTGCAAGCTACACACATGGCATGAAGTTGATGTGCCTCCTGCATCATACTGATCAGGTGTAGTTAATTACTGATTATAAACCCATGCCTGCCCAATTCAGCTGTTCAATCCGCAACATTGCCCTTGGGTAGAAATATGGCATGCAATGCTTCAATGTCACGCTTTTAATATAGTCAACATGACTTTGTACATGGGAAATCCTGTCTCAGTAACTTGATTGAGTTCTTTGAAGAGGTGACAAAGAAGATTGATAAAGGCAGAGCGGTAGACATTGTCTATATTGACTTCAGCAAATCGTTCAACAATGTTCCACATGGTAGACTGGTTAGTAAGGTTACATCACATGGGATCCAGGGGGAGCCAGCCAGTTAGATACAAAATTGGCTTGAAGGCAGGAGATAGAGAGTGGTGGTAGAGGGTTGCTTTTCAGACTGGAGGCCTGTAACCACACTGTGCCACAAGGACTCGTACTGGATTCATTGCTTTTCATCATTTATATAAATGATTTGGATGTGAATATAGGAGGTATGGTTATTGGTTGCAGATGACACCAAACTTGGTGGTGTAGTGGACAGTGAAAAAGGTTATCTAAGGTTACAATGGGACCTAATCAGATGGACCATTGGATTGAGGGTGATAGATGGAGTTAAAATTTAGATAAATGTGAGGTGCTGCATTTTGATAAGGCAAACCAGGGCAGGACTTATACAGTTAGTGGGAGTCCCTGGGGAGTGTTGCTGACCTCGGGGTGCAGATGCATAGTTCCTTGAAAGTGAAGTTACAGGTAGACAGGGTGGTGAAGAAGCATTTGGCACGCTTGCCTTCATTGGGCAGTGAAAGTTGGCACCTCCAATTCCTTCCCACATCAATCTCTAAAGTTGGGTTTTAATCCTTAAGCTTCTGACTTTGAGGGATGAATTCTCCCATCGAGCCCAGGTTGCAGCTTGGTAGGAGGAAAGACTGAAGGATGTATGGAATTGCGGAGTTTTGAATTCCCAGCAAAGAATGAGGTAGGACATAATTTGCTAAATGGCGATAAAACAGTAGTAATTATATTTCACTGTAAAACCTTTTTGTTTGGATTGAAGCAAAGTTGCTTAAACTGTGGATGCTTGTCATTAGGGACAAAAGTTTCAAAGAGCTATTGAGCTCAACAATGTCAGCAATTTGAATTAACATGGACATGAGATACTGAAACATCACTAGACTATAATTTATAATTGAATTGCCACACATCATTAGTTATGTAATGGGCTGTTAATCTGTCTATCAGCTAATCAGATGGTGAAATAAAAATCTACTCCGGTAACTAAGTTAAAAGCATTCGGTATTGTAACAGGAAAGCTGCATATTTTTAAGATATTATTGCCATATTTTTTCTCAGTTTTTCTTAAAAGTGCCAACTTGATGGGTAATCTCTCTATAGATGCCTGCACCCCACAATTTCATTGAGTAATCATGTGAGAACATTAGCAAGCTACTTCCCCTTAAGCTAAACACAATGCTGATCTCACCTGCTGCACAGAATGATATGCCATTGGATAACTATTCCTGAATTGTATTGCAGTAATTTCATTATCATTAACTCAGTATCGACCAGATTTTCTGGTCTTTAAGCTGCAGGCTCAGACTCTCTACTGCAATTACTAGCATGAACCATCAGAAGCAACAATCTCTGATTAAATTTTTACACTATATTTACCTTGAATATTTCTATTCATGGTTTGAAAATTCCTCTTTAATGGTCCATCTTGGGCAGATCAGTAGATTGTAGGTCATACTCTTAAATAGCTCAGTATTATCCATTTTTATCTGATCTTCACTTCTCTTCCCTGCCTAGACAAATGTCCAATTTAATGCCTGCATTAAATTGAGGAAGGGAATCTGAAGAAGGGTCACCAGACCTGAAACATTAACTCTGACTTTTTCTTTACAGATGCTGCCAGACCTGCTGAGCTTTTCCAGCAACTTCTATTTTTGTTCCTGATTTACAGCACCCGCAGTTCTTTCAGTTTTTAATGTCTGCAATAGTTGGGTTAGGGTTAGGAAATTAGGTACACAAATGCCGAAAGTGAAATCTTGCCAATGGTTTCAGACCAAGGGCATTAAACCTGGGAGCAATCAGATCTGTCTGTCCAGACTCCTATGATGGCCCTACAAAAAGAAAAAAATGGTGCTTTTCGCAAGCTATCACCTCATGGTTGTTTTTAATTTCCCTTGACAGACAATTGCTCTTGTAGTAATGGACCTTTCTATTACGCTGACTTCAAAAGAAATTTCGCTGGTGGAAATACTTCTTATAATTATTACCAGCATTCCTTTCCTGTAAAGCTGTTGAACCTTTTTTTTAAAACTGTGTCTGGCTTAGCTTTTTGTTCATGAAGACTGCTTTGACAAGAAAGCACAGAAAAACTAAACATAACACAATGTGCAAATAATAAATCATTTATAGCCTACAAGGGAAATCTGCTGTACAACAAAAAGAACTGCAGTGCATGCTCTGAATTTTTTTGGTAAAAAAATCTGACTCCCAAAGGAATGCTTGCTACTTCTGATGAAATTGAAATAGTTTGGGTGATTTTTTTGTTGTATTTGTATTATGCATACTCCCCCTGAGCTTTTCCAGCTGACCCAGGCCATTATGTACACTGAAATCAAAAAAGAAATGCTGGAAATGCACAGCAGATTCATTTGAGCCTCAAAAGGAAAAGGAACTAATGCAGGCTAATGTTCTGAATATGGTTAGATGTAGAGTTCTGAGGGAGGCCAAATACTCAGGATGTTTGCTTGTCTTTATTCCTTTCAGGACACAATTACCATTTGCGTTTCGAGGATTTTCTATTTTTATTTCAGATTCGCAACACCTGCAACATCCTATTATCTGCCGATAGACATAAATGAAATGTAATTAACTTACCATTTCTAAGCACTCTTAATGTGAAGGTGAGGTTCTTCTGTAGGTTATGCAGCTTATTGTTCAGTGAAATTGTGTAATTCCCTTCATCATCTTTTGACACACGCATTATTTTTAATGAATATCGGTTTCGGACATAGCAAGTCTGATTCTGCGTAATGAGTTTTCCATTTTTGTACCTGTTATGCAAAGCTACAGATTAGGTGGACTAAATAAAGATTAACATTCCTTGTGTATTTTATCCCAATTGCAACTTTTCATATTTTCACTATCATTTTAACCAACTTAATCCAACCATTTGGTAGCGTTTGTTGTTCTGAATCAGAACTTCATGCCCCAGGATCTGAGTTTATTATTTCTGCCCACAATCCAGAGCAATACAGAAGGACTATTGCATTACCAGTCAGTGCCATCCTTCAGATAAGATGTTTCAAAAATGTACTTTTTTATGATCATCAGATATTAATGATCTAACAACATGATTTGAAGAAAAACAGAGTCTCTCAAACTTCTAGCTGACCTTTTTAATCACCAGAAACAAGTGAATTGATTATTCATCATATTGATATTTGTGGTGTTCTCTTATGAACAGCATAAAAACACAATGACTAGGACCTGGAGTTGGGAATTCAGCACCTCGAGCCTGCTCTATCGTATATTACAATCATGGCTTATCCCATCTCAGCCTCAATTCCACTTTCCTGTCTGCTCTACATAACTCTTTAAACCATAACAAATTAAAATCTGTCATTCACCTCCTTAAATTTATTCAGTGACCTGGCATCTACTGCACTCTGGCATAATGAATTCTATGATTTAGAGGAATAATTCTTCACAACTCTGTTTTAAATTGCTACCCCTTAACCTAAGGTGAGAGGAAAAAGATTTAAAAAAGATGTGAGCGGCTTTTTTTTTAATATACTGAGAGTGGTTTGCGTTTGGCGTAGACTTACAGAGGAAGTGGTGGATGTGGGTACAGTAACAATATTTAAAAGACATTTGGATAGGTAGAAAATGTTTGGAAGGATATGGGCCAAGCGCAGACAGGTGGGACTTGTTTAGTTTGGGATTTTGGTCAGCATGGACTGTTTGGACCGAAGTGTCTGTTTCCATGCTCTGTGACTCTATGCCACAAGACGGGTGACTCACATGAGTGCTACATTTGTTTACTGGTAGCAGCTATTGCACTTCAAAGTAACTCATTGTGTAACCAAAATGATTTGAAGTGACGATAACCAATATACAAGATGCCACATTATTACTCTTGGATTTCTGGAGAAGGGTCCTGACCTGAAAAGTCATCTTTCCTGCTCCTCTGATGCTGCCTGGCCTGCTGTGTTCCTCCAGCTCCATACTGTGTTGTTTCTGACTCTAGCATCTGCAGTTCTTCCTATCCCCCCTTACTGCTCTTTCTTCTCTTTCATCTACAAGTGAAACAATAGTTTGCGGTAGAGGGATAGAGGGATAGAGGGATGTGCATTACCGGCTGCAGTTAAAGTTTTGATATTTTGTTTTCTCTACCGTTCATGCTCAACCCACATTCAGGTAACTGTCACTAATAGTTATCAAAAGTAGACTGAAGATCATTTGGATGTGATACCAAACCTTTCCATTCAATGACAGTTTAGGCTTAAATCTGGACTTGTGTTGAATGAGTTGCTCTTTTGTCTGTCTGGTGATGGGGGTGCCATGATGTGGAGGTACTAGTGATGGACTGGGGTGGACAAATTCAGAAGACACATAACACCAGGTTATAGTCCAACAGGTTTATTTGAAATCACAAGCTTTTGGAGCATAGCCCCTTCGTCAAGGTGAAGTGATGAAGGAGCAACGCTCCAAAAGCTTGTGAAGGAGCACTGTTATATCCTAAATGGTCTACCCCGAATTCTCAAACTGTTACCCCGGTTCTGGAATCCTCAGTCTGTGACCACTGGTTCTGGACTGTTACGTTTGCGTACGTTTGCATGTTTGCATGTCTTCAAGGAGGCTGCAAAGGTTAAGCTGGATCATACATAGGCATAAATGGATACATTCTGATTTTATTTAAATGATTGTTTAATGATCTTTTAAAATGTATGAGGAAACTAATTTTAATCAATTTTACAAAGAAATAGCTTCGAAAATGTTTTAAATGTCATTTAGAAGTAATTTAAAATCAGATTACTGAGCGATGGATTGACATTGTGATTCAGCTTTATGTCTATCATTCCTTTATTTATCTGTTAGACAAGGAACAATTGAACTAAGCTGACACACAACTTTAATAAATATTTATTATAGCTGGTTGACTGTTTTTCCTACAATTCACTGACTGGAAAATAAATACAATATTAACTGAAATGTCTTGGAATCAGTCTTGCTTTAATACATAAATGGCAGAATGACTGTTCATAGTGAGTTAAAACAACAGCAAATACTGAATAATGCTTTAATGATCTACTGGAACTTCTCAAGTACTACTCCTTTCTTTTTATTAACTGATACTGTTTTATTTTTCATTTTCAAAGCTGTTAGGCCTAATCTCTGGAGCCTACTTGTAGTCAGGAAACTGACTTCAGATAGCAATTTCCTTACGTAAGCTTTAGCTAAAGTGCTGGTCTTGTTGATTTAGGATGATTGTGGGCATCACTGTTTCTAGCAGCAACAATAACCTTTTACTTGGAAGTGTGCACTACATAGAGGTAGGGAAATTATGCTGGAGCACATGTCCTGTTTGTATTTTCTTGTTCATCTTGTATAAAGCAGTGCCAATGCCTCAGTGTCCTAAAAAGACTGCAATCCTGACATCAGATTGCAACTTTCGCAAGTGCACATGCAAGAGTGGAAACTGCACCTAACTGTTGGCAAAACCACAGCCACAATTCCATAATCAGGAGTTTGGTTGTCTTCATGGAGTTGGTCATTTCCTGTGAAGGTACTTTAGTTGTCTGGTGGATGGCAGAGCAACATGAAACAAACGAATTGACTCTGAGACACAAAGCCTGGAAAGGGCTGACTTAATGGATAATGTCAGTGTCTTAGAGATTGGTCTGGAAACATTTCAAAGGTAACTGACCACGCTGATTGATGCTTCCCCATTGTTGCAGCTTCTGAAGTTTAATCCTGAATCTCAACATGCTGCACACTAGCTGTCTGAGCCTTTCTAATGATAGGACAAGAAGAATTTCTTGATGTGGGATGTGCCAAAGGCAGAATTTAAAGTGACATTGCGAATGAAGTAGAAAACTGATTTAAACAGCTTGGACCTTAAATCCTTTGCCAGATTGGGCGGAAAAAAGCTTTGACACATACTGCCCTTACTGTCAAAGAGAGCAGAAAAAAGGTCAAGATTCCCATTTTGATTGGTATCCAATGATTATCAATGGGATCTGCTGGTGTGTGGATGTTCAGTGATGGACCCAGACATTGAGGTCAGCTGTACAACTTTCCATGGTTAAACAACTTGCTGACAATTACTGTCCATTTCCACGTGCAAAGAAATGACAGAGGGTTCTGAATAACAGTACAAAACGCGAGACAACATCTCAAGGAAAGGAATGGTAAAAAGGGAACAAAAAAAATCATCCAGTGCTTTCAATGTAACAATAATTGACAAAGTCCATGAGGTATCGTGGTAATTCCAGTAGCAGTGCTACTTGACTGTTGATCAAGTGTTTCTGATTGCAATTGCATTTTAATTGAAAGAGTTTTAATAGTTCTTAGCTTTAACACACTAGATGAGAACAACATAGTAATGGTTCACTGTGGATGGGAGTGATAATAATGACAATACTGGCAAAATGAACTAATTAAGAAACACTTGTTTTCCTTTGATCGGAGGAGACTGAGTGGGGACATGATTGAGATGTATAAAGTAATGAGGGTCATAGATAAACAGGAAGGCACTTTTCCCCTTGGTGGAGAGGAGGTATCAATGACTATATGTTTAAGGTAAGGGGCAGGAGTTTTAGTGGGGATGTGAAGTAAGGCTGGTAGAGGCAGAAACCCACATAATATTTAAGAAGTATTTAAGAGCTACACTTGCAATGCCAGGACACACAAGGTTAGGGGCCAAGAGCTGGAAAATGGGATTGGAGTAGTTAGGTGGTTGTTTTGACTTGCACCCATTCGATGGGTCAATAGGCGTTTTTCTGTTCTGTAGCGCCCTGGGTGTCTGTTAGCTTAGTTGGCTGGTTTGTGATGCAGAGTGATCCCTATAGTCTGGGTTCAAATCCTGTACCAGCATTACGCTTAAGGTCCTGCCTTCTCAACCTTGTCCCTTACCTGAGATGTGGTGGCATTCAGGTTAAGCTCACCACCAGTTGTGTCTCCCTAATGAGAGAGTTGGACAATATCAATGTTACTTTTTTTAAGACCTCTATGACTCTGTACTATTTGTCAATCACAAAGCAGCTCAGATGAGATGCTTATTACACGATGGCACTATCTTCTCTGCTCAGTAAAGTCATGTGAGGGATGTGATTGTTTGCTAACTGGTGCAAACTTCAGAGGAAAAGATATATTTTAAAAAGCGTTATTAATATTCAATAGATGGACTATTATTTTGCCAGATATTTAGTAAGTATGATCAACATTTTAGCAGTAATTTTCACTGTACTTAAAAGTTCCACCTTATCTATAACTAGGATGATGGTAAGTCTGGAAGAATTTCCTTCACTTAGTTGTCAGATTACTGCACTCCTTGTTTGAAAATTAATAGACCATTTATCCTTTGAGCAGACTGCCAGCTCTCTAACATATCTTCTTTTTAAAAACAAATAAAATCTATTTTTGCAGAATGTGGAGACATTAATGAGCCCATTAACTTTCTGATGAATTCTTATTATCAACAAAGCAAGCATCAAAAGTCATGATTCTTTTTAAATGGATCCCAAAGCAGATTGCAATGTATGAAAAGAGACGCCAATCCTTTTTCTTGATAGTAGGTTTATTTACAAAATGCACCATTAAATATGTCTGTCTTCTACTTACTAGTCTGAATGTTCCAGCTGCCTGTCTTTATAAGTGCTCTTGTTACTAAGTTAAACAATGCTGTTCATTTGTTTATCTTAACAATAAAATTAACATGGAATTGTTAATGATATCACCATGAACATATCTCATATTTGGATTCGGCAAAAAGTGGTAAGGCGACCAAAAGATATTGGTTAAGAAAATACATAAATAGACAACTTGAACAATTTAGCAATCAACTCCCTTAATTTTGGTGCGGTTTCACTGATCTGGATGACAACTTAGTTTTATTTGGCTCAGTTGGTAGCATTCTCACCTGATTGAGAGACTGTGTATTCAAATCTCAATCAAGAGACTGACGGCAAAAATCTAGGCTGATGCTGCAGTGTAGTACTGAAGGGATGCTGCACTGGGGAAGGTGCAATCATTTGGCTGAGATGTCAAGGCTTAGTTGGCCCTCACTGTGGAATGTACAGGATATATTTGCACTACAATGAAGAAAAATAGGATGGGAGGGTGGTAATCCCTGATATCCTGGCAAATGCTTATCCTTGAATAAACATAATTAGGAAACAATTATCTGGTCATTATTACATCGTTGTTTGTGGGAGTTTGCTGTGCAGAAATTGGCTGCCACATTTCCTATATTGTAACATTGACGACTGTTAGAATGCTTGCTGAGTTTTCAAAAGTTTAATTAGGAATAAAATACTTTGGAACATTTGGAGGTCATGAAAGCTGCTCTTTACATGCAAGTATTTGTTTCTGTCACCTCTGGCAAACTCTGAGTGAAATGGTCTCAGCAATTATTTTTAGCCAGAGGTTATCTCAATCATGCATTGGGAAAAATATCAGTATAGCTGCCAGGTCTCACTCTATTTGGCTGGCTTTGCAACTTTTCCAGTAAAATTCATAATTGCTAATCAGGGTAAATTTGTTGAAGACAAAGCTGAGGCTGCTGCTGTGATAATTGTGGGGTTCCTATAACATAAGAAATAAAATCTTCAGTAAGCTATTTGGCTTTTGAACCTGCTCCGCAAATCAACAAGATCATGGCTGATCTTCTAACTTCACCTTCCTGCATGGTTGCTGGATCTTTTAATTATTTTTGTACCCAACAATCAATTGACCTGACCTGAAAGTACTGAAAACTGAACTTTCATTTTCTGAAAAGATGAGGGAAAGTTAGTGAAGTAAAAACAAGATTTTTAGGACAATGAGCTCATTAAAAAGGAGGATTTGTGGAAGAATCAAATGGATGCACTTTACCAGGACACCTCTGGTGTTGGGAAAGCATTCACTTTTGCAGATAGCTTCACAAACTTTTCTCCAACCATTACATCCAAAAGTTTGTTCGTTTTTACCCTTGCTTTAATGAAAGGCTTATCTGCAATTAGAAGAGAAAAATAAAACTATTAGAAGACTAGAGAAATGGTATGAAATCATACTGAATAAATGCAGTTTAAATCAAAACCTGTTTTACTTGGATGCAAGCGAAGTTGAATTGATACTGTCATTTTATGGTTTCTGCTGATGTTACATGGGACACCTAGACAGACCTCAGAAATTTGTGAGATTTACATTTTGCTCTATAGTAATTTGCAAACGTCATCTTTTTGTCTTTTCAGCAACGTGCATTATGAGGAGTAGAATTTTAAAAAAAATTCATCCTAAGTATAAACATACTGGCAGTGAAGATGATGTATCTATATCAAACCAGCAGTAATCTTTACATTAAAATAAAAACAAAATACTGCGAATGCTAGAAATCAGAGCAAGAACCAGGAAGTATTGGAAGAACTCAGGCAGGTCTGGCAGCACCTGTGGTAAGAGAAACAGAATTAATGAGTCAGATTTCCGTTGAGTCAGGTTGACGCTTGACTCCTGTAAAAATAATGGTGGGTATCTGATTCTGGGATTCCTGACTCCTTTTTCATGTTTTTCAGTTTTTGGGAGTGCCTTTTAGGAGTGTAGTTTGATCGCAAGTTTGGGCCTCTCACCCCCAAATTTGCCAACTCTATTGTGCAGATAGGCAAGGCCTACCTATCTGTTTTTTTCAATGGAGTTGGGGCAGGCTTTTTAAGGATCATGGTTCATGGCACATCAGAGGGTCATGGAGTAGATTCTTCATCGGACAACCTTTTGAAAGATAAGGACAAAAAGTTCTCTGCATGTTCCCCCATGCCAAGGTATGCTCCCTCAAGCCCTTCCCTTGGCTTCTCATGCTCCCCGTGCCAAGGTTCATACCCAAACAGCTTATGGCTGCTGAAAAATCCCATGCCAAGCCATGGCACTGCCAAACTCATTCATCTACTGCACACTGGATTTTTAAAAAAGAAATCTATCATGACATTTTCCTGAATAAAACAATTCAAAAAAAGGGAATTATTCATAATCTTCCACAAAATTAAAATCATTATGTTTTAATGTAAAAAAGTTCACTGCATCCTAATGTCAGTGTTTATCATCCAGGCCCTTTAAAGTTTCAGTTTCTCAAACCACAAGGCACTTGTAACACTTGTGTAAGTAAATATTGAGAAATTGACAGGGATCAGACAACCAGCGCTGTAAATCAAGCAGGAGTTTCAACAGGCTGTGGGATATCAGGATTGTTAGCCAACAATACATCATGAGGCTTGGTTGAGAGCCTAGACAACCATTGGAGAGTTTAAATAGCTCTACTCCAGCCCGATTGATCGCTCTGGCTGTTTGATCTCTGGGCTCTCACTATCCTGATCAAGAATGAAAATCCTGCCCAACAATTTGAGTGAAATATGGCTCTTCCTCAGGGAGTTCTATGCCTCTGTTATTTTATTTGGGGCCAAAATTGCAGGGGGTTTCTTGTTTCTCTATCCACAGTAGCTACCAGACTTGCCAAGAATTTCCAAAATTGGAGCTGCTACAACATGATGATGAAACTGACAGTAGTTGGGAATCTGACATATGGTGGACATGGCCTCCAACTAATAAGGCAATGGTAAATAAACATATATTTTACTATATTTTCCACAGATTCTATTTTGCGCAAAATTTTCTTTTTCTTTAATTTATGTTATCTGTTGTATATACATCTTTTATGTGCAGTTTACAGGTCATAGAATTTTCCAATCTACAGTTTGCAGGTAGATTTGGAGGGCTGGGTGGGTGCTTGTGTGGGAAGCTGTACTATTCTTCAGTTAGCCTTCCCACTGGCCTTAAATCTGACCTCCCCTATGTCTCCAATTTTACGATGAAAGGCGAGGTGTAGGCTGACAGTCTAACCTTTTCCCAATCAAGGCCCCTAAGTGACCAATTTATGATCACTTATGGTAACCATACTTGGTGTAATGAAAAGTTGACTGATTATCAAATTTGGAAAGAAACTCTACCAACACAAAAAAAGTTTACTTAAAATATTCCAGTCCACAAAGCTACAGTTAGCTACAATACAATGTTGATTTTAAGCCAGGTAAGGATTTTTCATAATTAAGATAGTTCCATTGATCTTGCAAATTTATTTGTATTTATATTTTATATTCAGAGTATCACTGATTCAAACCCTGAATACATACTACATGTGGTACCTCTTGGGTCCTTAGTAATCTATCACTTAACTAAATGTTGTCCTTTAGCAACATCCTCCATAAGCATAATGTCCAATTTGATGTGTAAACTGCTAACACCCAGTCCTATCCCATTACCGTCTCTCTCAACCCCTTCATTGTTTCTAATTAATCGTATTATTTGTCTCAGTTTGAACACGGGATAAGCAGCATTTACTCTAGCTAAATGTAAGGAATACTAAAGCCATTGACTTTGGGCCCTGAAATAAACTTCTGATATAGCCATCAACTCCATCCCTCAGAGCTGAACTAAAACTGTTCATTATTAAGGCAACCTACTTCCACTTCCATAACATTGAGCAATTTTACCCCCCCACCCCCGACTCGGCTGTTGTGCTGTTGAAATCCTTATCAAGGCTTTTCTTACCTCTGGTTTTGGCTATTCCAATACTTTTTAGCTGAGCGTCCCATTGTCGATCCAATGTAAGTTTGCTTACTGAAAGCTATGCCATCTTTGTCCTAATTCGCAGTCAGTCCTGTTCACCCTTTGCTCATTGTGACACCCAGTCAGCCTAAACTTCAAACTTCAAAGCTTCTAGCCATTTTTTTCAATAGCCTTGTCCCTCCTTGTCTTTGTAAGCTTCTCCAACTCGACAGGTCATTGGAATCCCTGCACTCCTCCAATTCTATACGATCCCCAATTTTAACAGTTGCCAAAGCTGCATCTCTGGAATTCCTTTCCTCTTTGCCTCTCTACCTCTCTCTCCTCTTTTAAGACATGCCTTAAAACATACCACTTTTTCCAAGCTTTTAGCTTTCTGTCCTTAAAGCTCCTTATGCTGTTAGGTGTCAGATTGCTGTCTGTGAAGTTGCTTGTGGACACTATGCTATACAACTTCATGCTGTTGTTTTGTAAGTGTTATATCGACTGTCTCTAGTCATAAGTATCAAAATTGATATGAAGTCATTTAAAATAATACAAAAGGATAAAGTAAGAAGACAAGTCTTTGGAAGATATAGAAAAGTATTACAATAGCAGATTCCCCAAATCTGAATGAGATTGATAAATAGATTTAGTTTGTATTGTTAGCTTACTGTATACCCAGAAATTGGAACACAAGTACCTGACTTTCTGCACCTCTGTCATGTAAATGAAATGTGTTTAATAGCTCTACAAAAGCTTACCATAGACAATAACTTTAGTCCTGTTTTCTAAAGTATTTTTATTCGATACTTTGCATATGTAGTCTCCTTCATCACTTTGCTGAATGTCTTTCAGAGTTAGAATACTGTAAAACACAGTTGTGATTTCACGTGCTTTGTAAATATTGGTTATCCGATTAGACTGTGAATAAATAAAAAAGAATTATGTTTTGCAATTCTGCTACTCAATATACAACAACTCCTCATCAGAATACCAACTTTAAAAACACTAATTTAAGTGGCTTCCTCCCAATGCCACTTATTAAACAGCGAAATATCAACAGATGTTCAATTATTTTTGGTTTTTGCTTTTGAACACTTAGACATTACGGCAGCTAAACTTGATAACCCCTGAAAATGAGTATTGCATGGTACTGTGGTACATGATACCTCATGTCCATTGCTTTTGGTGCAGGTAATGTGCCAGCTAAATACTGCTTGCCAATTTGCTGCAACTCTTAAATGAGGAAGTATTTTGCCTAGAGCAGGAGCTGAAAATGGATGGGAAAGAAAAACTGAACAGGAAGAAGAGTGAATTAAGGTTCAACAGAGTAGTGAGTGTGCTCCAAGGTTCTCTGTCACTGCTATAGATGTCTTTGTACAGAAGGTGGAAGGGAGGAGCATTGTCATCTATGCACGCGAGTCAGGAGGCCATCCAGGCAAACCTTGCAAAGGCAATGTGACCAGGTCATTGTCAATATGAGAAGTCAAGCCCTGAGGACCTAGATGTAGTGCCACAAAATAAACAATGACCTCACAAAAGTGGTCAAGGTCACGAAGGTATCTTCAAATGCTGTATCATACAACTGCCACCAGCCATCTCTGCTCAATACGCTTTATCTGCATTCACTCACCTATCAACAAATCTCTATCACTTAGGACCTGTACGTAATTTTCATACCTTCACTTATCACTCACACACTTAGCATTTCTACCAGCCTCAAATCCACATTTTGCAGCTTGCACCTATGATAGGATGTTCAACATAACAGCAACATTAGCCAAAAACAGTTTATCGCAGTCACTGACACATCTCCCAAACTGATCCATGTCCCCTTTTCTTGCAGGAAATAGTTGTGCATGAGTGCTGCCAGGATACTGTGCAATGACCTACTTGATTCTTTGTATATCATTACATTCCAGCTGGATGTTGAGGGAGTGGAATGCCTGTTTGTGGAGCATCTCAGAGTTGCCTTGTGGTTCTGCCAATTAATGTGTGTAGACAATTGCACCCAGCATTGAGGGAAGGCCTGCAATGCTTCCAAAGCCATGAGTTTGTTTTGCCTATCTCTTTCTGGAAAGAGAAAGTGAAACATAATCAGCTCTCTTGAAATGCAGAGCTGTACGGACCAGCGCTGAAGGGGTGATAAACTGGAACATGTTGCAAATATTATCTGCTCTAGTCTAGAAGAAGAACAACATCTAGAAATCTATAACTATGGTCACCATCATACTGACTGGAAATGCCATCCTCACCTGCTCTGATGTTGCAGGTGTGGCTGTCACAGTTGGAAGATTTCAATGAGGAGATCCTCAGTGAAATGTAAGTGTCTTCCTCACCGTTTATTACTGAGGTACGGACAGGAGACAATTCTTTGAATATTCTGGGCAAATATAACCTACTGCAGAGAAACCATATTCACCTCATTCTCCCTCTTCTAGCAGTTTGCCCTGGACTGTCTCACTTCTGATCCTTCTGCCTGCAATGCTATGGTCCAAAGGGAATATACACAGGTATATCCATGTCAGGGAGCAAATGGCATATGCAGCACCATTGAAGTCAGACCAAGTCACACACCTTTCTGTTGACCTAGCAACTTTAAACAACTCGAGAAACTATTACATATTACTAAAACAGCAGTGAGAACTGACAGAAGTCCCTCAGCCAGAAATCCAAAAGCAGCTTATGGTTGATTTAATAGCATTGTTGGGAGAGACTTCCTGTTGCTGAATAAATGTTCAGCTGTGTGAGTGTCAGAGACATTGTCAGGTAGAATGCTGGGCTCCAAATTGGCTGCGTGCTTTCCTCAAATTAGTGTTATTCACTGATTGACATTGTGATCTGCCTACTCTACGTTTACCTGGTGGATGCTCCCTAATTGACACCCTCAGGAAAATGACATTTGGTGCATCTTGTACCACAAGTATGAGTACAATCTGCCATTTCTTCTTTATGGTCTGATAAATTTATCAGCGCAAATTCAGTAACATGAGAAAGACTACTGATAATAAAATTGAATTAAATTTTGGGCAGGGATACAGTTTTTAGATTGCTTGGAACTGAAGCTTTTTAACTCTGAAATTAGTGTTGACCTTGGTAGTGAATGAAAGTTCAACCTGTTCATACAGCATTCCTTTGATATTTTGGTGCAGGTAGTAACACGCTTATTTTAAATGGATTATCTGTTCACTAAACTACCAGACATAGGAATGTCAAATGAGCATGTTGAAGTATTCATCTATAAATTGCATTGGCAGTAATTTTGAAACTTTTGTGTTAAAATATTAATAAGAGCTTTTAGAAAATCTGGTTAATGTACATCAAGGCAGAACTTACTGCTAGGCCGGGATACTCCCACTGAAATGCAGGTCTGGCATTCAAAGGCATTTTTGCTGTGCACTTGATAGACAGTGATTCTCCAGATAACACCTTGATTTTTTCAGTGGTATTAAGGTGAACAGATTTCACTCCTTCAACTGAGAATAAAAGGTGAAATATAATCTACTGCAATACAGAATCCTAATAAAACACAATAATCAGATCTTAGGTCAAAACACAAATACCAAAGTAGTAATGCAGCCTTTTCCACCTTGGCTATAGTAATAAGTTGACACATCAAGTTCTTGTTATACTGCTGTAGTTAATTTAGTTAAGCAAACTGAAAATGAGATGGTGGACATGAATTATATATAAACTGGAGATTCACTTGTACCTTTTAAACAGGAACAGACTGAAACTGTTTCACACATTGGGAGATAAATGTTTATTAAGTGTATTTCTGTAAATAAATGCTTATAAAAGTGTGAACTCATTGGCTCTAGTCCAAACTTTAATCTATTTGCTTCTTGCCTACTTGTAGAACAATAGACATTCATTTTGGCGAACTTTTGTAGTCATCAAAGCGAAGGGGGTTCTCCAAGAGTCATAAACTACTGTTCTGTGTTTTCCAAATATATTAGGATGAGTCATATTCAGGATATATTGTAGCAAAGTTCATGAGTTAAAAATGGTGTCCTCCAAACTCGTCAGGAATGTGCCTTTATCCAAACTTAGAATTTCCTAATGTCAGTGTAGCATTGCTCTTATTCTGGCAATGTATTATTTTGGAGAACTACAAGCCTTTTTCTTTCTCATTATGTTGCAGTTATTATGTGGCTACCTCATGGAAGTTAACTGATCAGCTGAAATACATATTGCAAACAGCACTAAGGTTTAGAAGATTGAAAGCTGTCACTTTCCATCCAAAGCAGGTCAGGAACTGACACCTAAATGAAGAATGGCAGTTAAAATCAACCAAGCTCTTGCTAATGACTCTGATGGAATAACTGGCAATTCATATTGATTTCCTACAGGGAGTTGAAATCAATTCAGAAAGAAAGAAAGTACGTACCTTCCTTGGATATCATAAAACAAGATTCAAAAGTTTGTTTATTGACTGTGGCTTTGCATCGCAACATGCCAGGAATATGTTCCAAGTTTCGAAGAATAAAACCTCGCTTAGGATCCCATTTGTTATTTATTCCATCAATTTCAAAGATTGTGTGGTCCTGTATTAGGCAGAAATTATCATTGGTTACATCAATGTACATGATAAGCATTACCTCTCAAAGGTTATGTTAGGATATCCATCATAAAGTTGTAATCTCTTAATGCTTCAACATTTCTAATCAAATAAGAAGAGAGAGGAAATATAAAAAGTGCCAAATTTCATTTGATGCTCAGTTTCATTACAGCATTGTGACAAGTGAGACGGTTTCCCTCCCTTGAGGAAACTAGAACTTGGAAAGACAGATCATAATTAAAGGGTCGCCCATTTAAAATGGAGGTGACAACTATTTTTTTCTTCTCAGGAGTGACTAGTTTTAGGAATTCTCTTCCACAGTCTACAGCCAGAGTGAAGTCATTGAACATATTCAAGGTTCAGTTGGACATATTTTTGGTTCACTGTGGAGTCAAGGATTATGGGGTACAGGTAGTAAAATGAAGATAAGGCCACAATCAAACCAGCATGATCTAATCAATTGGCAGTGAGGTCTCAAGGGACCAAATGGTGTACTCTCCTTCCTTTTCTTATGTGGGACCTTAATTGCTCTCTATCCATCACCACAGTAATCAAGTAAAACTGCAGAAGATCGATTTCTTAACAAAAGTTCTAACATTCAGTCTAATGCTTTGCATTTTTCAAATCACATTTCTACTACAATACACAGTCCCCATTGCTCTGTCTTTTGTTAGCTTTCTCCTAATTTATCATGCCACTGAAATATTCTATACTGTTCAAATAAAGTCAAGCCTACAGCTAGGAATTAGTTATATTAATTGGAAATCTATTATATGCATCTGCTATTATCGTGAAAATAGTTATCACCTCCATCCTCATTTAATGCTTGTTAATTTTCTACATGACTGCCCAAGTGCTAGATTTATAGCCCAACTGTACAGACTATTTTCATCAATGCTATCTTCACCTTTTATCATTCAAAAAATCTATATCACATTCCCCATGGCTTACTAACATAATATAGTCTTTTCGTTTCTGCCACTGATTTCAGTTACTGGAAATAAAAATTGCTGGGCTATTGGTTTAGAACAAAATAGCACTTCATAAATCTGAGAAGATAAATCTAAATATATCAAATCCTTCTTTATCAGTCAGAGTTTATCATCAAGTACAAAGGTACACAAATGAAAAAATTTAGTTTGCCTGCTTAGATTTGGCAGTCATCACATGTCAAACTGATCGATTAGAGGCAATACGTATTTGAATATCAATATGTAATGAATGGTGGGTTATTAGTGGGTTTCCTTTTTATCATAAAGTTAATTTCATGTCACATTAAAAATTGCTGATTTTTTTGTGATTTAGTTTCGCCAAGAGAGGTAGAGTTTGTGCCCTATTATAATTCAAAAATATATTTTACAACAAAATAACCAATTTTTGTAAAAGATACATCATTGCTGAAAAGTTAGTTGACAGAATAATGGCACCACCTGACATTGGTCCTTTTTTGATGGGTTTTCATTATTCTTTCAACAACTGTGCGTGGTAAGCCATGGGGAACAATAAGATAACAATCTGGATGCGCGCCAATTAGAATGCCTGCTTAAATCAAAGAAGCCTGTAACACTGCAAGTCACTTTGAAGCAGAATTCATGTTAGCTCTGAAGATAATGAGAAAGCAATTTTCATTTCCAATAAGATAATTACACATCTTTACAAATTAAGTTGCAAAACTTTGTGGTGGAGACATTTGCCCATCTAAAAAGGTAGTAGAACATCCTGGAAAGCTTTACTCCTGGTCCATGTTTAACACGTGCCATCCAAACCATGCAATAAGAGGGCACAGAATAATTGCCTGTGGTGTATACCAGATGGCCTTTTGTCTACTCTGAACCCCTGGGTTTCAAGATAAAAAGTAGGGATAAGGGTTTAGGAATGACCTGTGAGAGGCAAGAGTGAGAGCTCAGGGCAAAAGAATTCCTGAAACACTCCAGGTCACACAATGGAATTTCTTCCCAAGACTTGTGCACTTAATCTGGTGCAGCGTGCAAGGAGTGCTGCACTGTAGAACATCTTTCAGATGAGATGCTATTTGAAGTCCTCTTAAGTGGATGTAGAAGGTCTTGTTTTCAAGAAAAGCAAGAGAGATCTCCCAATTTTCTAGACATTATTTATCCCTCAACTAATGTTACTGAAACTTGAGACAAATTATTTGGTCATGTGCCAGTTCATTGTTTTTAGAAATTTGCTGTCTACAAATTGCCTGATATATTTACCTTTCTGTACTATCAAAAACATTATACTGCCTGTAAAGCACTGGTCAGGTAAGTTGTTGAAAAGATATTCTTCTTTTTGATTCCTGGAACGACCTCTCCAGCTTTCCCACTAGCTGCTAATCTGCATGGCAGGAAAGCTGTGGTGTCAACACTGTTTAGGGACCAGTTAAAATGACAGTGTGAGGCCTTGGGCATGAAATAACCCTGCCATGTATAAATTTGACAAACTCCACTTACTTTAGGAGGATACCTCATTTGGTTGCAGAGTTATGATGTTTACAATGGCAAGTGTACAGTTTTCAACAGGTAATTCAATTGGTTACAGCCAGGTAAGTTGGGTTCAAATCCACCAGTTTGATCCATCACCCTCCATCTCCCAGGTCCCACCAACAATCTGCCAGAATAGGTGCTATTTGTCAATAGGGGGCAGTCTGTGTCAGACTGTAAAGCACCTGTTCTGAGGATAAGCATTTAATGGTATGACAACAGATTGAATTTTTACAGGCACAGAGGATTTACTCCATCACAAATAATTAAAAAAGGCATTTTGTGAGTTTCCCTTCACAAAATGTAAATGGGAAATCTTGTGATAGTTTGTCATGCAATGAGGGATGGATTTAAATGAAATAAGATGTTAGAAAATTGCATCAACTGCACAGTCATTTATTTCAATGAGTCTGACAAAATGTAACTCCCTATTCCACCAGTGGTGACTGCATGCTCCACAAGGATAACACTTTACAGTTCATTGGCTTCAGGCCAGTACATTTGTCTGGCTCACGGGCTGACTCAGCCAACAGGAAATTAGAATCAAAGGGGAGATTTAATATGCTTTTTCTGGCCCCAGGAAAATAATTCTTTACTTACAGTTTCTGATCATCTTCCACTTCATCACCCAGTCATCCCTCTAAAGTGCAATTGGTGCTTATGCATGTCAGAGGACATCAATTTGCATGCATAATGAAGCTTCTGTTGCAAGGTACAGGCTCTGCCAAATATGGTAGCAGTGAGTGGTGTGCAACAATTTGAACCCTGCCACAGGCAGTTACTGCTAAGTGTTCTGTGTTAAGATTGACCCTCATATCTCTTGGGTAATAACTGGCGATTAGCTGACCTGTATTCTTAAACAGTCTTGCCTTCTTTCCGCACGCAATTCACGTCAACCCACCCTCCAAAATAAGTCCATTCACTGAGCTTTTAAAAAGTTGTTGTAGTGATTATAATGAGATCAGCCAGGTGGACCTCACAGAATATGAGTTCCCTGATTGGGGCTGCCAATCTGGTCCAATCAGGGAGCCCTGGCTGATAGGTAAGAACAGGAGAGTCAGACATCCCATTCACTCTGACAGCTGGCTCTGAAGGAGCTGGGTCAGTGTCAAGGACTCTCCATGTGCAAATAAAGGGTGACTTTGTGGAATTATTTCAGTTTTCATTCGTAGAAGTGTTGTGGGAACAGGTTTAACTTGCTTCTAGCACAAACAACACACAAGTTTATTAAAAATCAGTCACACCTTTGAATAAAGCTATTTTTGAAGAGCTGAAGCCACATAGTTTTCATATGACAGCTTTTCTAGAAGCTGAGCCATTGTCTGCCAAATTTATTAAGATTATCTTACTACCAACTTTCAACAAAATGGATGCCATTTCAATTCACAGATTTTAGAATTGGATTCCAATTAGATATAGGAATTCTGAGGTAGATTTAGATTTGGATTGCAGGATTGGGCATTTTCCTTTGTTTTTGCCTCAAGTCATTCCAGGCTTGGGGCTCATGAGCGGAAATAGACCTCTGGACCTCAATCAAATCATGGCTCTTCATAGGTGAATCAAAATGTTGAGTATTAGGTCCGTGTGTGTGTTTTTATATTCATTCATGAGATGTGGGATGCCCAGGTAGGCCAGCATTTATTCTCTACTGCTAATTGCCCAAATTTCCCAGAGCACAGTTGAGAGTCAACCACATTGCTGTGGGTCTGGAGTCACAGGCAAAGGCCAGACCAAGCAAGGATGGTAGTTTCCTTCCCTAAAGGATATTAGTAAACCAGATAGGTTTTTACAACAATCAACGATGGATTTATGGTCATCATTAGATTCTTAATTCCAGGTGTGTGTGTGTGTGTGTGTGTGTGTGTGTGTGTGTGTGTTGTGGTGCAGGGTACTGACACTGCATTATAGTATCATCATATCCTCATCCATTGTACCCATTGAAGTAATTTACAGCAGAAATCACTTTGTAATGGTCAACAGTAGATGACAAAAATGCATCTTGCCTGGTTCTGGTTGGGGCCAATTCTTATGCAAGCTGGCATCAGCTAACCTACAAAGATGGACAATTATATCTGACACTGCTTATTGGTGTGATTTACAATGCTGAATAGGAACCAGACAAACACTATTGGCATTACTTGTGAATATTTTGGGAAATATTCACAAAAGGAAAAGGTCAGCAGAATGTAAACACGTTTTCCTGCTTTCCTGGAATAGAAGTTCGTAAAACTTTAAGGCTTTATGGAGGATGTTTGTAAATGGGACTACAAAACTCTCCCATCGCTTCCTCTTGCAAAGCAGGAAGCAGACAGCTTGTCTCTGCAGCATTCAGACAGTGGGACCTGGGAACCAGCTCAAATGTATCAATTACTCAGATACAAGCTGTCACAGAAGAGGTAGAAAATAATGACAGTGGTTTAAGAACAAATACCAAGATACATATTAATCATGTTTAGAAATAATTTCCATCGTTTTCTGTATAGGTCAGAAGACTGAGCCATTCCACCTCATGGACACTTATGTCATCAATACTGTTCTTTGGCTGGAATTGTAGTAAGTTTCTGCTGTAACTATCTCCCAATATCCATAAATATTTGAAGCCCTATTCAGATGTAATGAACATTTGCGTAAGATTACATGTTTGAAACTTGAAGATATGCTAAATAAATTGTATTTAAACATGTAACAATGCCAGAAAGAAAAAAAAAAATAGGAAATGTTAAAAATGCTAGGAATTATTAACTAGGTATGATGGGATTGCTGAAGCCATTAAATGAGAAGGCACCAATCCTGCATGGATTGCAATAGGGTAATTAATGTAGTGTAGTTGCTAATTAAATCAGTTGCAGGATGGTGGGGTATTGTTAGGGAATGATTTGAAAGAGGAATGGTGTGGAAACATTGCAATAAGTTGAATGATCCATAAAGATTGCCCTGGGGAAGATAGTGAGTTGAAGCTGATACATGTAGCATAAGGAGTCCTGGCTGGGGGAATGATGAATTACCTACAGGAATATGGAATAATAAGAGGTCGGTATGTCTTGTTGTGCAGGGAGTGGGGGAACAATCAGTCGAGATGGATTCAGGTCTGCAAAATCTTGTGAGGTGTGTAGGAATGGGAATGCAGTACGTTATAAATTTTAATGAATGTTGTTGACCCAATGGGGAAACTTCTGAAGTGGCTGCATTAGAGAAAACTGCTTCTCAAGAAAAAGAGGGATCAGTCCTTGTGACATCATTTTTCACAGTGACAGATTAAGAGCTTTCATTGACAAATGGAAAGTTTTATTTAATGTGGATAGAGGTGAAAGAATGAGAGTATGGACTGAAAGTAGGATCTGATCTATAGGGTTTTTTTTAATTCATTGGTGGGACCTGGATGTCACTGGCCAGGTCAATACTTATTGCCCATCCCTAATTGCCCAGAGAGCAGCTGCGAGTCAACCACATTGCTGTGGGTTTGGAATCATATGTAGGCCAGGTATGCTTGGCAAATTTCCTTCCCTATAGGACAGTAAGTGAAGCAGATGGGTTTTTCTTGACCATCAATAACTGTTTCATGGTCATCATTAGACTCTTAATTCCAGTTGTTTTTGTTGAATTCAAATTCCACCATCTGCCATGGCAGGACTCAAACCCAAGTGCCCAGGACATTACCTGCGTCTCTGGATTAATAGCCGAGGGATAATTCCACTAGGCCTTTGCCTCCCCTAATAGCTCACTGAAAATGTTACGCTGGGTGTAGAAGTAATAAAGATTGCAAACAAATAAAGACTTGCATTTATACAGCACCTTTCAGTTTCTGAGGACAACAGCATGCATGAAAGCAAACAGATTATATTCAGAAATGTAACTGCTTTCATTTGTAGGTAAATAGAACAGCCGATGAACACATAAGAAACTACAAATAGCAGTTAATTAGTTTTGATGGTCTTGGTTAAGGGCAGGGTGTTAAGTAGGAAATGTTGCCATAAAATTTTATTTGTCAGCACGTGTAGATGAGATTTAAAATTAATGTTTCAAACAAAAGATGCCTCATCAAATACTAGACTAAGGTTACTTGAAGTGTTATGCTGATCACTATATTCTTTTGAAATGATGTGATAACTGGGGAGAATACACTGAGAGACATCTGCATTGATATTTTGAATTAGCCTTGAAAAGAGCGTACAGAAATGAAAAAATACCAATCTAGAGAGAAACATGTTAAAGTGATCTTTATCAGTATATTCAAAATTGTAGAGGGTTATAGGTAGCTTGAAAGCTATGCTATCTGTACTCAGAAACCTGATAGGAAGTTTGAATTCAGGTTCAGAAATGGGGAAGTGAACAATGCTTAAAATTCATTGTTACAGTCAGAGGTTGGTGAATACATGGAACAGCTTGTGTCTCTCAGAAGGCATTGGATGTGAAGAATGTTGGCAAAGTTAAGAAGGAACTTGAGAGAAATTTGGCAGAGTAAGGGATTGAGCAATAAAGGATTGAACAGTATGACAGATACTGCAGTGCGCCTCATTTTTCAAATGTTCACGTAGCTGTGGGACTACAACAATCTTTTCCAGCTTTGTACATTCCAATACTTTCAATTAATCAGAATTCACAACTAATTTATTTGCATAATCAATGCATAAAATCAGATCTAATGTAAAGTTTGCATTGTATTGTAATTTCTTTTCTTTGTTTGCATTTCGTCTTCTCCAGTGACAATGGTATATCATAGTATTTTATCATGAGCATATTCAGTCCACCACAACATTTTACATAAGCTTACATGGTGAGTGTTACAAAGCTTCTTAGCTATACAAGGCATTACAATGAAGTCCAGTCATGTTCACACCCACATTATCCAGTTGGGGTGATTGAGTATTAGTTGTTCCCTCCTCTAGTCAAGGGAATTGAGGCTAATTGTAACCAAAATTTTCGATTATTAGATCAATTCTAAGTGTTATTAGCTGTGTGCCTGTGATAAAACTTTGTCCAATATTGTCAGACCATATCTGAGATATGGACCAAAGAGGATGCCCATATGATGTCAATGCATTTCTTCTTCTGACTATTCAGTTTTATTCCTTTGTCCTTGTACCTGCTGCTTCCCTTTTTCTTATTATTTTACCTAATTCCTTCACAACTTACTGGGCTGTTGGATTTGTAGGTACTTTCTCTTGCCACAGAATTAGATTATGAAAATACAGCCATGGAAGCAGGAGTATCCCACCATTCGCTTGGCTGAACTGGTCCTCACTCTCAACAGCTTCTTTGATTTCTCCCACTTCCTAGAAACCAAAGGGGTGGCCATGGGCACCCGCAAGGGCCAGAACTGTGCCAGCCTCTTTGTAGGATTTGTGGCACAGTCCTTCTTCTGCAACTACACGGGTATCATCCTGCTTTCTGATGACTGCATCAGTACTGCTCGAGCTCCTCACGGGAGCACGAGGCTGTTCGTCAACTTCGCCAACACCTTCCACTGCGCCCTCAAATTCAGTTGGACTATTTCTGACACCTCCCTCCCCTTCCTGGACCTCTTCGTCTCCATCTCCAGAAACTGACTCACTACCGATATCAATTTCAAACCCACTGACTCCCACAACTGCCTTGACTGCACTTCCTCTCACCCAGCGTCTTGCCAAAATGCTTTTCCATATTCCCAATTCCTCCATCTCTGCTGCCTCTGCTCCCACAATGAGGCATTTTACTCCAGGACATTCCAGATATCCTCCTACTTTAGGGACCGTAATTTCCCCTTGTCTGTAATTAAGAATACCTTCAACCGCATCTCCTCCATTTCCTGCACTTCTGCCCTCAAACCTGCTCCCCCCAGCAGCAATAAGGATAGAGTCCCCTTAGTCTTCACATACCACCCCACCAGCCTCTGGATCCAATGCATCATCCTCCGACATTTCCGCCACCTACAATCAGAACTCACCACCAAAAAGGTATTCCCCTCCCCACCTCTGTTCACTTTCCACAGGGATCATTCATTCCGTGACTCCCTCGTCAGCTCGATACTCCCCACCGATTCTTCCTCCACAGCCAGTACCTTCCCCTGCAACCGCAAGAGGCGCAACACCTGCACCTACGCCTCCCCCCACTCACCTCCATCCAAGGCCCCAAATAATCCTTCCAGATCCAGCAGAGATTCACCTGCACTTCATCCAACTTTATTTATTACACCAGTTGCTTCTGATGTGGTCTTCTTTATATCAGGGAGACCAAACGTAGGCTCAGGGACCGGTTCACGGAGCATCTGCGCTCTGCACTCAACAACCAACCCAACGTTCCAGTTGCCATCCATTTTAATTTCCCCTCCCACTCCTCTGATGACATATCCACCCTTGGCCTCCTCCACTGTCAGAGTGAGGCCAAACGTAAACTGGAGGAACAACACCTGATATTTCACCTTGGAAGCTTACAGCCTAATGGCTTTAACATTGAATTCACCAGCTTCAATATCCCTCCACCCCCAGTCTTATCCCATGACCAGCCCTCCGACTGCTACTTGATCTAACCTGTCCATCTTCCCACTCACTTATCCAATCCACTCCTCCAACGGACCAATCACAATAACCCTCTACCTGCATCCACCTATTACCATCCCTCCTACCCTTTCTCCTGGCTCCACCCCTCTCCCTCTATTGATTTCTGGGCTCCCTCCTCCTCCCCAGTCCTGATGAAGGGTTTCGGCCTAAAACGTTGACTTACCTGCTCCTCGGATGCTGTCTGACCTGCTGTGCTTTTCCAGCTTCACATCTATAGATTCCACAATCCCACCATTCATTGTGCTAGTGAATGTTCTCCAGTAATACCTCAGGACCCAATATTCAATATAAGTATTTACTATTACAATGAATGGTGGTGCCTGCCCAGCATCTTGCGTTCTCCCACCCCTTGGACAGTTGAATCAAGAAAAATCTTAGACATCATTAATGTATGCATGCATGACAACTTAATGCCAGACTCTTGCCAGACTCAGAAGAGGTGGCATGCCTGTTTTATTGTCCCACTGTTGTTGCCAAGTCTGAGATCCATTAAATTATTACAGACTAAGAGTTGAACCATGAAACTTTTGTGTTTCTCAGGGGTTTTTAGGAACATGTTATCAGAATGTTACAATTTCAAAGAGGTTGTTATACTCCTGTGGATAACAACTTGAGGGCAATCACGAAACAGAATTCTCAAAACTCTTGATGCAAAATAAACAACATTTATGGTGAAAAACAGTTAATGTTAGAAATCTGCAATAAAATCAGAAAATATCCAAATTACACAGTCTGGATTTGAAAAGAGGAATGGCAGATAATGATATAGTCCACACCCAAACCATTTTTATTCTTTAATCTTTTTAAAAATGCTGTTGACTTATTTTCCAACCTTTTCTGCTTGTACATAACATTTCTTGGAAGGGCATTTTCACATTATATAACTTGTTTGTATGCGGATCTGTTGAAGTAGTTACAAATTTTTTTTCTTTGTGTCTTACCATCAGCAGGGTGACGTGTAGGTTTGGTTCTGTAACACGGCATGGAATCACAATCTCACTGCTTCCATTGAACTTTATCACTTCGGGCCGTTCTGTATGAGGTTCTACGAATGGACTCTGATGATCTTTTATTGAGAAAAAGCACATGGACAAAACACACTGTAAGGTTTTGTGAGGTACTAATTTATAACATTTTAAAATAACAGATGTTCCTTAAAACAGTTCAATGCAAGATTGGTTAAGATTGCCATTAGTTTTTGAAAGAAACTTTCAACCTTTTAAATGCCGAATCTCCTTTGAAGCTTTTAAAATTCCACCTTGATCTCTGTAATCACGTAAGTGAATTATCATAGAAACATAGGAGTAGTAGGAGGCCATTCAGCCCTTTGAGCCGGCTCCAACATTCTTCATGATCATGGCTGATCATTCAAGTCAATAGCCTAATCCTGCTTTCTCCCCATAATCTTTGACCCCATTCGCCCATTCAAGTGCTATATCTAGTTGCCTCCTGAATACATTCAATGTTTTGGCATCAACTACTTCCTGTGTTAATGAACTCCACAGGCTCACCACTCTTTTGGTGAAAAAATGTCTTCTCACCTCCGTCCTAAATCGTCTACCCCGAATCCTAATATTATGACCCTTGGTTCTGGACACACCCACCATTGGGAACATCCTCCCTGCATCTACCCTGTCCACTCCTGTTAGAATTTTATAAGTCTCTATGAGATCCCGCTTCATTTGTCTCATCTCTAGCGAAAACAATCCCAACTTGATGTCAGACCCGCCATCCCCGAAATCAACCTGGTAAACCTTTGCTGCACTCCCTTGAGAAGCTCTGCTACATAAGCTCATAGAGCAGGAACAAACAGTACCTAGACTTGACCTCATCTACTTTTCAAGGTTGTTCACACTACTACTGATTAGAGCTTTACAAAAAAAATATTCTAATTGGCCAAGGACCAGGATAACACCACGTGAGCAGTAACTGGGGTGGGGGGGTGGAGTCCAGGCAGCAGCATTTTAGAGTGAGGGTGTGTCAATAGTTGTAACTACAAGTCATCAGTTCATCAGTTAAGCAAACGTTTCTGAGATTTTAAAGTAGGTTCTGTCTTTTACCAATCCCAAGTAAGTCTGGTTAATTTAATCAACACAAGAATGGAAAAGTTAGATATTCCAATCTATTCCTTCGTTATTGATGGTAATTTAAACTGCCCATTGCATTTCTTTTTCTTCTTTCCACAGTGAATGTGTTCATAAAATTATAGCTTTGAATTCAAAAGTGAAATTGTGGTTGAGCGATCATGCATAGAGTTTGATAGGAAGTGCACAAACAAGGAAAGTGAATGCAAAATGTTACCAACATTAAATATAATAGATCACATGGATTCACAGCAAACAAAGCCATTCAGTATTTTAACAATGTTGAATGTTCTGATTCTCAAAATTACTTTAAACCATGTAATCCTGTGTTCCCAAAAGTGAATTGTGCTATCAGGGAATATAAATCAAAGGAGAGATGTATAGTATTATAGCCCTATATCCCACTTGTATTTACTTTGAATGCACTTTTTGTGCTCAGAGTCTGGAATTAACATCAACCATTTGCATTGAAAATCAATATTTGTACAAGTCTGAAATTGCTAGAATGACAGTTTCTTTTTATTAATTCACAGAATGAGGGCATCACTGGTTAGGCCAGCATTTATTGCCCATCCCTAATTGCCCAAAAGGCAGTAAGATTGAACCCCATTGCTGTGGGTCTGGAGTCACATGTAGGCCAGACCAGATAAGGATGTACTCTCCTTCCCTAAAAGGATATTGGCGAACCAGACGGGTTTTTCTGACAATTGGCTTTGGATTTATGGATTTCATTTAGACTCATAATTCCAGATTTTTAAATTACATTCAAATACCATCATCTGCCCATGGTGAGATTTGAACCCAGGTCCCCAGAACATTACTTTGGTCTTTGGATTAACAGTTTAACAATAATACTACTAGGCCATTGGCTTCCCAATGGATCATATTCTGAAGCAGAAAGCTGCAAAGGCAGTTATATTAAAAATCATAGCCAAGATTTTTCTTCTTAGTAAATACAATTAAGTAATAAAGGAATTATTCTGAAATCCAAATCAATAAACACTGAGAAATAAATTCCATTGTATATGAACTGAGAGGAAGATTTGTTTTTTTCTCAGGAATGGAAAATACTTTCAAATGATGTCTTTGAGTTGTTGGTGCTTGAAGTGAAATAAATAAGGGGAGTCCTTATTGATATTTAAAAGATCCTTTATGGAGAAGAATCACTTAGAATATGTAGTAAGAAATCTGTGAATGTGAAAGACCCAAGCACAGATGCAAATAGACTGCTAGTCAGCAGATACCAATTAAGCATCCAATCAAAGTATGAGCATAGTGGACATAACTTGCACTCTTTTTTCAGGCTGTAATAGCTCTTGGTGAATGGGGTTTGGGCAGCATGATCTCAGCTCAATGCTGTGTAGAAGCATGCAAATATAGAATACAAATTTCATTTTGAATCGTTTGGAACAGTTGTTGCACTGAAATCCTAATGGTACTTGATGCAACCAATTCTACAGCACATGATTGCACCAAGTTGAGTGACTGACATGGGAAAAATTTCAGGATAGCTACATGAATAGGTACTTGGATTCGGTGATTGTTTCTGCATTTCTTGAAATGCAGCAGTGTGAGCAGCTGTGTCATGCTACAGTACAGTTTATATTGGTGGGAAGGGAGTTGTAAGTACTGATTCTATTGAGCAATGCATCAGTCATTTGCTTGACATATCTGTAGCTATGTTGAAAGGAAGCAGACAATTGAGGTTTGGCTGCCCCTGGAAATGTCATTCATGCTGTGGAATTTGGCTCTGGTCTCCTGACACGAGATGGCACAGTTCTGTAACAATCTATGTACTATACAGGCATGGGTAGTCCCCTCAATCATTGGCAGAGCTGCAGTTTGGTAGAATAAAGGTGAGTAAACCAAAGGTTCTCTCCCTAGAATATCTTCATGATCCTCTTTGTTTTCAAGCATGGAAATTCATGGATTACACCGCGAAGTCAAACATGACATTAACAAAAAAATGTTTCTTCACCAACACAAAAATGCAATTGGCCATTAATGATTTTACTCAATCTAAACATCCACATGTGAGGTATTTGCCAGAACTGTGATTGAAAAATTTTTTTATGGAAAAGTTAGTGAGGTTAGCAAATGTGTGTGTATTCCAATTTGACTGGTGACAGTGGTAGAAAGAATACTTTCTTCCCCCTTAAAAGCCGTGGTTGATTGTTGATAGTTATTTCAAGCGAAGCCACTTACACATAAGTTAATTCCAGAGAAAACTGAAGTAGTTTATAGCTGAATATACCCTGATGTTCGATGATTTCAGTGGCATACAATTTATTTCACAGAAAAGCCATTGGCACTTTTAACGATTTTGAGAATTTGCTCTTGTTTGGAGAATTTAAATTTTTTAACAGAATATTAGATATAGAAAGAGCTGTTCTCTTATGCTTAATCAAAAACAGGCATGAAGAAAGTTGCATACTGTTATGATTTTGCAAGGGCCTGCTAACATTCAAAAAAGAAATCCAAGCATTTAGCAATTAACTTATGGAATCACGCCTCAAGGTTTCAACTTTTTGAAACAAAAACAAACTTTATTATATATAAGGAGAAATTGTACAGAGCAAGCTTAACTTAATACTGCAGCTTATAAAGGCATATACTAGAAACCTAGTTCTGCTTTTTAACTACTCCCCCACCCGAAGTACCACAAGAGTATCACATGAAATCTTGAAAGTTCATTCAACTTTCCTGGGACAAACCCAAAGTACGCCTGGAATTCACATCAATTCTCCTCAGTGTTTCAGCAATCCTCTAAGGTAAGATTTTATTAAGGTTTTTTTGACTATAGGACACGCAAGATCTGAAAAGAAAAGGTGGCAACTCTGAATGCCTCCATTCCTTGTTCAGGTTGACAGTAAATACCAAACTTCTTTCTCACAGCTTTCTAAGCTCACTCTTCTCATTGCTTTCTGTCGCAAGGCTCTATGAGGATCACTGCAGACTTTTTCTGCAAGCTGCAAGTGAGAGCAAACCTTTCTCATGTTATTCCCTCATGAAAACCAAACTGACTTGAAGTTAGTATTTTCTCTACATTTAGTAAAATTTACATTTTAAAACGTATGAACCATGAACTAGATTTTTTCAACAATGCATTAATTTGTTTATTTATTTTCTAGCCTGCCCAAGACTGCACTGAATTTATTGATGGGGCGATGCATCATTATGTGGTTACAAAATAGTGACCCATTTTGGGATACAGATTTTCTTTTCCATACTCTAACACTTTTAGAATGTCTAAACCTGTGTGGGACCATAACTAGGAGAATCTTCAACGCTTCTTAAATTTCTAAAGTTACAAAATGTATGGTGCTGAGATAGGTCGGTGGTAGAAAGGGAAGGAGGAATAATTGTTTGAATATAATCATGCTGAGTTGACAAAATCATGACATACTTTCTATTCTCTTTCAACAAAGCACTCACATCCCACTTTTTCATTATCCATAATCCTGACGAAGTACCAGAGTTTTCACGACAACTCTTGCAAAGTAAAATATCATCAAAAAGCATAGCTTAATATTGTTTGTTTCTTTATTTGCATTTCATTTTTCTTTCCATTTCTCTATAATACCTGAAATGATCCAATTTTCATGGGTCCTCATAGTTATGAACGATTTTCATGTAAAATTTTTCTCAATGCTTCTGTAAAGTGTCTTGAGATATAAATGTTGTTAATCAACCTGATAAGATGTATAATGACAAACTGCAGGTGGAACTTCAATCTGGGCCTTCTGGCTCAGAGGTAGATATACCATTACTGCACCAGAATGGCCCTTCCATAAAACATATTACAATACAAAAGGTGCTGTTTTCCCAGTGAGAAAATTGATATAATATTTCTTTTTGATTTGTATTGTAGACATTCTCATTTCTGTGCAATCCTGCTCCATAGGAGCAAGAATAAAATTTGTGACATACAATTTTCAGCAGAACAGATAAATCAAGTGTAATGTAATTGCTTCATATCATT